TTTCTTCTTGCCAACTGATTTATCAGGCGAGAAGTTAAACACAAAAGAAATTCAAAATTAATAGCTAAAATTCATGAAAGTTGGACATAAAAATTCTTTACCTTAAGTACAGACCAGAAATTTTTACCAGCATGAAATTGATAAGAAATTAAATTTAATTCAGATATAACTAAAAATATAACTGTAAAAGAACAAAATGAATAAACACAATAATAATACACACACACAGACATACATTATATATATATATATATATATATATATATATATATATATATATATATACACACATATATACACACACACACCAGGTGTAACAGTAAAATTGTCCAAATCGTATAAAAGCAAAATTATCCATATGTTAGATTAAGCTTTGAACCATTGTATCTTAGAAATGAATGAAGATATCTTACTGAAATTCTCCAAGGTTTTTAAACTATTGGACTCTACTTTGAGCAATAAGAATGTATAATTACTCTCCAAGCTTAACAGAATAATCATGATGAAATCGATCATAAATGAAAATGACATGCTCATCATTAATTAATCATAGCTAACGATCAGAAGCTCATGAAAGATTGAAATTAAGTTCAAATATATATATTATTCCAGGATCATTTACCAACTTATTCAAGATGATCTTTACTCTAACTTTCTGTCCTGGTGTAACAAGGTGCTTCACAGGTTTCACATATGATTTCATTTCCCAATCTTTTTTCACTGCTCTTTGGACTGTCATAGGTGAAACTCTTCTCTCACAGGCCAAACATCTGGATTGAATTGGATTTTTCCTAATTCATTTCCTTAGCTTTAAGTTGAAATGATGATGCATCATTTTTGTGATTTCCTGATCCAGTTTGTCTCTCTATTGTTCCCTCCATTTTAAACTTATTCAGCATTCCCTTGATGGTTCTTGAATGGAAGCCAGAGTATGAATGTTGGTACCATTACTGAAGGCCAGAATGATCTTTTTCTTCTAACCATTGTTCATTTGGGAAGAGAGTGGGACTGACACAAAATGATTTTAACCTGTTCTCTTTCTAGCTGAATAACTCAAAGGCTTCTTTAATGATTCTTACAACAAAGGATATCAAGATAGCTAAACATATCTGAAAATCTGGAAAAAAGAAACTCAATTAGTTTAGTGGTTTTTTAGATATTAAACATTTTGTAGGATGGACAATTATGATATTACATGATTTGGATAATTTTTCTATTACACCTGGTATATATAACATACATTCTGGACATGTGGGTGAGTGGTTAAAATGTTAGTGTTCTGTCCATGAGACCTGGGTTCAAATTGTATCGGAGTCGATTTACCAAGAGGGTGAATTTTGATAATATTAGCCTTCTCTTGTTTGGAAGTGCCTGACAACCATACCAAAGGTTGACTGTGAGTGAGACTGGGTAGACAATATCTGGAAGTTGTCAATGGTTGTGCTAGTAAGAAGTTACAGGTCATTGTGACTGAGGATTTGGGTATATTGGCTTTGTTCAAATTGGTGATCACACCATATTCAATACTCTCTCTTCCAGAAACTGTACTAAGGTCCACTCAACATAGTTGCAGTATAAATGACAGGTTGGCTTTGTGAGTGATGAACAAATACAAATGTACCTGAGCAGGAGTCTTCTACAGGGATTAGCTAGCCACCTTAGCAGACATGACAAGTGGTCACCTAGTCTATATTACATACTGGTCTCCTGGGATTAGAATAATCATCTTTGTTGTTATAGTTACAATATTTCTTCAGCAATATTTGGTAATCATTTGGGAATTTCTAACCAAACCATTTGTTCAATCAATATGGTTAGCTTCTCATTCTACTGTCCATACATGATGCTATCTTGCATCAGTCAATTCAAATGAGATAATTAAATTTAAATATTATTTATCATTATCATAGTTTGTTTTGCCAAATTTGTTCTTATATTGTCAACACTATAACACTTAATAGGTATGTTCATTACATATGTTTATCAGGTTTTATGTAATAATATAAATTCTATTGTCATCTTAAACTGTGCCTTTTATAGTCCTTCTTGTGTTGAATCATTTGAAAATGTTATGTATTATGAACTGGATAAGTCCCTTTGTGAGTGAGTTACAAAGTATCTATTATAGAACAATTCAGACAAAGGAAGTCAACAGAAATTATGCATTTGTCAATGCCAAAAGAAGGTACAGAATTTCAATATAGAATTTAATGTAGGAAAAAAGAAAAGGATTTCCTCAATGAAAAAAAAAACAGAGATTATATGAATTCTATAAAGATACCATTCCCATTACCCAAAATAAGAAAAAAATTCATGCATGGATATGGAAAAAAGGTTTTGCACCACTAAATAAGCATTTTGTGCACCAGAATAATTGAATATATACAAAAGGAAATATGCATAAAAAGAAAACATAAAAAGATACATTTGATACTTGGTTGAAAAATTTGTCTACACAGTTATTTAGAAAAAAAAAAATTAGTGATCATATTTTATTATGTTTTTGTACATTATTTTGCAAATAAAACATAATTTAAGTGGACTGTTATTTTCTATTAGCTGTGATAAAATTTGGAATCAGAGAGACTGGTGCCTAGAACTTGATTTCCATCTTTGTCTACTTAATACATGATCAATAAGTACTTGTTTGGTTTGATTGATTGACAGGCTTTGATGTCTACTATTTGTTGCCTGTCATTAAACACTGATAGGATGATCTTTCTTTTAAAAAAAATAAAGGTATAATCTTTATTAAAATACAAAAACTATCCCCTAAACATTTCTTTCTGAATAACAGCCTGTGAGTTATTCGAGATGTTTTCATGATTTATGATGCTAAGTATTTATCATACAAGAATACAAGATATCAGTTATATAAAAAATGCGTGTGAGAAAGATTATTGGCATGGAAAATGAAATCAGCAGAGTTCAAATTCTGGTCTTGTCTGTTGTATTTAGTTTTGTATTAAATTCCTTGGGACAGTTATGAATCCATCTCCCCTCCCACCAGCCATGCATTAAACAGCAAGGTAAACTTGGCTCTCTAGCCTTAGGTGGAGTCTAGAGGAAGGAAATTCCAAATTGTGGAGAAGTCAACAGGAAATCATTCCACTATCTTTTCCAAGAAGGAATAGCAATTCACAGACAATAAAGAAAAAAAATCTGCAGAAGACATAATCACTTATGTCCTTAAGGGACATGGAATAAAAAAATGAAATTCTAATAATTCTTAAAATATTAACAAATAATAAATTTTAATGGCAATTCAAAACTGATATTGGCAGATATAAATAGAAATAAAAATGTAAATAGATTTAATATGTTATTGAATATACACTGACAGTTACAAAGTAACATTTTCCCTTTTATCAAAGTTGTTGATAGACAAAAGGGTTAAGAAAATAACTTTGGTTCAGCTGAAATAGATACATTTATGTTCAATATTAGTTGATGAAACAAAGAAAAGCCTATAAATAAAAATGGCTACACAAAGTTAACAGTCATTCATGTAATGGTAGAGAACAATGAACATTTCAGTGGAATTCAAATCAAATGTGATAAAATCTTCAAAGGATACAAAACAATTAAGAAAGAAAGTAACCATGTTTAGTTTGATAGGTTTATTTATTGGTTTAGTGTAGATGTAGGAGATATAAAAGGTTTAATAATATGCAGGTAAGCAAGTATTCAGATTAAAATGTGCTAACCTCATTGTTTGCATTGATATGACAGTGACAATTGTTTGGGTCAAAACTGAAAGCTGACTTAATTATATCAGTGGAAAAAGTAAATATTTATTAATCCACCAAATAGTTATATTTTGGTGTGAATATAAACACCTCTAATCAAATTGAAGAGAATTTAAACATTTTTATATTCTTTTAGCAACATGAAAAATAAAAAAAAAAATAAAAAATAACAAGATGGCCATAGTGTGCATAAGTTTTGGTAGCAATTTTCAGAGTTGCTATTCTATATGTAATAGTATTCCAAGGGATAGAAAAATGATTAAAGCATTTGACAAGAGACCAAAATATACATGGTTCAATTACTAGGCATATCTATACCTTTAGTGCAGCAAATTATTATTTTCTTTTTTTTTTCATATTAAAATGGTATAGATATCTGACTTGAAGGAATTATTTAAAAATGAAGTCGAATATGAAAAACAATACTGCTTAGAGAAGAAAGCTTTTGATCATATTTATTTCTGTCTTGAACACCATCAAATTTTTAAGTAGCAGAGAATGTGAAATGCCCACAATATAGATCAGGTTTTCTCAAACTTTATTTCTGTTTTAATAATTCTAGACACTTCTAAAATTCTGTTAAATATCATATGATATCTGTTTATTGATATAAACCAAGAATGTCTATGAACACACCAGACATAATTTAGTGGAGTGAAGATGAAACTTTAAACATCAAATTGTAGTAAATGATGCTAAGTGTAGTTTAAACAATACAATATTATATATCAAAAGAAAAATTTATTTAAGATATATAGAACTTGCAAATTCCTCTTGAGGGACAAAATTCCTACTTTTGGAGAGGAAATGTTTTTTTTTGAGATTCAAATAGATATCGGAGAGAACCACACATCTACATAGGATAGCCTGAAATGTCTAATATTATTGGATATTAAAATATGTTCATAAGAAAAAAAATAATAAAAAAGTAAATAGATAAACCATGTATAACTGAATTTTGTGAGAGCAGTATTTTTAGAGGGCCTTAATAATTAAAGAGTGTAATTTTTCTTGATATACAATAAGAAGGTTTGGGGATTATAAGTCATTTAAAGAGTCAAAAGTGCAAAATTAATAAATAGGTTGGGTTATTTTTTAGAAATTCCCTAAAGTAAATTATTTATATATATAATGTATAATCAAATTATCCAAAGAAATACTAAAAAACTTTAAAAAGAAAAGAGATCTAGAAAACAAAATCATCATATTCTAGTAATAGTTTTAGAAAAACATAAATCCAAACTAACTTACAGTTGAGGTCAAAGACGATGATGAAATGGTGCTGTTGCTATCTCTAAATTCTGTAACTTTGGAATTACGCAAATTGGTCTCACTTTTACATTTGGATATGCCATCATCAGTGGTTGGTTGGGTAGGCACTTCAATGCTTATTTCCATTGGACTGGATGGAGTTTGCTGTACAGATGGGGGTTCTGACATTGCTCTGTGGTTGGACTGAGAAGAAACTGCAGAAGCGTCTGTTGTAGACAAAGGGCAATTGGGAGCATTTGTGTTATTGGAACCATCTGATGATGCTGGTAATGTACCTTGTGCTGCTCCAAGAAGCTCACTTAGAGATGTTGTACTTCCAAGGAGGCTGCTTAACGACAGATTACTGTCTGTCAGTACAGATGAGCCACGATACTTCTTTTTGAGAATGAGATATTTGGTATTATTCTAGAGCAAGAAAAAAAGAAAAAACAAAACAAATCAAAACATAATTACAGAAGGAATTACTACAACATTCACTGAAATATCTGGGTAACAATTCAAGCCTGGTTATAATGACAGCAACAGGATTCCTTAATACCAATATCTGCTTAATGTTTTAATGCGTCATTAAAAATATCTATTTAACAATATTTTTTTAGTAATGGTGTTGTATTTAGGCTAGTGAATTAAAGAATTGATTTGAAAATTTGCTGACATAGTAGTATGTACATTCAAAGCTTGGGATGGGCAGTATGTACAGGGTAGTCCAAAAGTTTTGTCACTCCTACATAATATAATTTTCTATTTCAGATGGCTGACACAAAAATGATGATATTCATACAGACTTTCTTGATGCATGACAGCATCAATGAAAGGTAATAAACTGAATCCAGTACATTGTGCGCTTTGTATTACAGTATTACTTGTTCTCATGACAAGACTTTCGGACCACCCAGTACTTGGACTCAGGTTATATATATATATATATATGCATATGCATGCAAGTTTCATTAAAAATGACTGACAAGGTACTGGTTTTTATTTAATTTTTCATGTGTTCTTATAATTTTTTCTTTTCTGTATATAAATTATATAAAAATCGTCCAAATGTTTTGAATGTCCGAGTGCTTTCAGCTATACTTTTTTCACTGCCTGAGGAAACCTCCATTGGCAGAAACTGGGGTAGTGGAAAAGGTTAGTACTTGTAATATTTTAAATCTTAACTAGCTCTACACTTGATTTTTGGGAACTGTGTATTGAGCACTTTTTAAAAAAAATATAACCATTTCCTGGACAAGATAAACCTTGTCAGTAAAAACAGTTTTATTGTATTCTTGTATTGTATCCTGTTTTCTGTAGAGCACTTTATAATGGTGTATTTTAATATCACATTATGTGTTTATGTAATCTATGTGTATCATATTGCATACGTATAGAACTATGTGAACGGCATTATATGTATGAGTGTGGAAACATGTGCATAATAATATTGACACAACAAGGGTTGAATAAATAATGGAAGGAAATACAATGCAAGAACATTCCTATTCAAGCATAAATACATGCTACTATTATTAAAAGAAATTGAATTCCTTGTGAGAATAAGATGGAAGGAATTGTTTTTCCTATATAAATATGTAAACAACAAGGATGAGATTGAAAAATTTCAATTTAAAACTAAAAAAATACCTCCCTTCCACGGTGATAGATGAATTGACTGATTTTGAGAAAGATATGCTTGGTATAATGGATAAGATCAAATTGAGTAAAGTAAATAGTGTCTTTCAGAAACGTCTAGCAAATGAGGTGAAAAAAAATAAAGAAAAAAATCTTGACAATCCTAATTAAAGGTGATAATACTGGAAACACCTACATGATGAGCCTGAGGGTGTATGGATAAAAAATGAGTGAAGAGGTTAGCAAATTTTATAAGAAAGCACTGAATCAATATATATGGAAAAAATAAGTGAGGAGGCAAAAAACATCACGGCCCAAATGAATATAGGTGACAGGATTCAGAAACTATATAAAAAGCAAGCTTTTCTAACCATAAAAGACCATGAGGAAAATTTTCCAAATAATCCATCATTTCACCTGATTAATCCAACAAAATCCAAATTGGGAAAAATAAGCTACAAAATCCTACAAGAAATGTGTTCATTACTATGGATAGCAACAGAGGCTAACCAGTGGAAAGGCACAGGAGAATGTATGTCTTGATTTTGAGAAATTAAAAAAAAAAATAATAAAGAAGCAGCTGTTTATTAAATACAATATAAAGGATTTCTATCCCTTGACATCTGAACAGGGGCTATTTGAAGCATTAAACTTCACTAAGGAGTTCATTAATGTAACATCTGAGCAAGTAGAAGTTCACTATTTACAATATTCAAACTATTGTCTTCATCTTTGTTTCCATAATTAACACAATGTTTCAGCTGTTGTATGCTCTGGCCTTCTTCAGGTGGTTGGAATGTCGAACTGAACCCTTTATTTTGCTCACTGGTGTAGACTGTTCTAGTTCGACATACCATGTCTAATGGATATCAGTTATCTCCTGTTAATTTACCTCTCCAGGTTCTCCACTGCCTTAACCAGGTATTGAACTCACACTGTCACTGGATCCAACCAATGCCCCCACCCACTATGCCATGTGTCCTTAAGGACACATAACACAGCGAGTGAAATAAAGGGTTCAGTTCAACATTTCAACCACCTGAAGAAGGCCAAAGCATATGACTGAAACATTGTGATAAATATGGCAACAAAAATGAGGACAATAGTCCGAATAATGTAAATAGTGTACATAATACATAATCTCAGAAATATAGACAGACACAAGTAGAAATTATCCTACATTGTAGAAAATCAATTCCCTTCCACAACAATAATACATAGCTAAAAAATACAAATAAGGGTGCATTTGATGTCCCCCCAAAAATCGTTGATGTTGCAGAGGTGTCTGAATTGATGAGCCTCTATATATTAAGCAAAATGAATAAAATAGTACATATAAATGACCATGGCCTATACAGGGATGATGGACTGATGGTGGTGCTAGATAAAGAGTGAATGACAAAATAAGGAAACAGCTATACAAACTCTTCAAAAACCTCGGTTTTGATATCGAGGTGGATATGTATTTAAAAGTGGTTGAATACCTGGATGTGGAATTAAATTTAGAAACTGGTAATGTCTCTCTGCACATGAAACCGATTAGCAAGATACAATATATAAATGCTGGATCAAACCACCCAAAAACTGTGATCAAACATGTCCCAAAGGGCACTGAATGTAGGCTATCTAGAAATTCTTCAAATAAAGATATTTTTGAAGAAAAAAAGAAAAGGTAAAGAGAGCATTAATGGAAGAGGAGGCACAAAACCTGACTTGAATTTAAAACCCAAATCATCCAACCTATGGTGAACAATAAAAGAAAAAGAAACATTGGTTTACCTGACCTCCCCCACTTCAATTTAGGAGTGAAAACAAATATAAGAAAATATTTTTCAAATTACTCAATAAACACTTCCCCCTAAATTTCTGAGTGGCACAAAATCTTCAACAAAAACACCATGAAGATAAGTTATAGTTGTACCAGCAATTTAGGAAATACAATAATATAACTGATCTCCTGCGCAATTGTAGAAATAAAAATAAGTGCCCGCTTAATGGAGTATGTAAAAACAGAATGGGTAGTCTACAAAGCAGAGATAGAGATTGAAAAGGGCCCAAATAAAGTGTATTTTGGGTGTACGGAAAGCATCTTTAAGAAAAGATGGTATAACAATTGTTCATCATTTAAGCTAGAAAGTTACAAACATTGTATGAAACTAGCTAGCCATGTGAGGGAGCTAAAAGAAAAAAATGAAAAAAGCCCTAATATGTGTTGGGGTATTTAAAAAAAAAGAAAAAAAGAAGCCAAGCCATATAGTATTGGGAATGTCATATCCAGATTATGTCAGGAAGAAAAGCTGGCAATTATGTTATATCCTTTATATATATATATATATATATATATATATATATATATTATAGCTTCGATATATAGAGTGAGATGGATAGGAAAAAGGCAAACATGGTGTGGAGAGCCATGATCATCCATATCCAGAAGAGAAAACACACAAGAAAAAAAAATAACTGATGATTAAGCACTGAATTTTGTAATTTAAACAAAACTTGTTTTATCAAATTTTGCCACTCAATATGCATGTTTTGCATTGAAAATGAAGAATGGGATTGGCAATGCTGGAGAATGAAAGCAAGCTTTATAGAAAAAGGTTTTTATATAATAATTGCAGCAAATGTTAATAAAGTCATCAAAGAAAAAAACTAATAAAATAATGATCAAATCTAAAGTTATATCAGTGCTATGTAATTTGTATAAAATATTGAATTAGAAATTATTTGAATATTAATATATAAGCAAAATCAATACCTCAATCTAATTTAACCCTATCATTTAATTTAAAATACAAAGAATTTATGATTAATGCATTTTGAAAAATTCATGTACTGATGTCATAAAGTGTTTGTATTAGAAGGCTAAAGTAAGAGGCAAGATAAACTTTTTGTCCAGCATATGAAGTCATATACAGTGTGATAAAGGTTAACTAACATATCTGGAGTTTCAAATCAATATCTTAAACACAAAGGGAAAAGTATCAATTGAAAATTGTATGCAAGCAAAATAAGTTGTCCCCTGCTTGGGAGAGGGTTAGGAATGAAAGGTTAAAATTCATATGTAAGAAAAAGCAAACAATTTTGACCCAATAGACAAAGCTTTCCTTGTACATTTTCTTATTTTGAATATGAGATTAAATATTGATATACACTGATTGATGATGGTTAGAAAAAAAAAAGAGAAGGTTATTAAAATTGTATTCAATAAATTGTTAATAAAGATTACATTAATTCAGTATATATTAAAGGGAAATCAGAATTCAACTTTCATACAAGCAATAAGTATATTTATACTTATTGTGTATGTGAAAGTTGAAGGGAGAACTAACATATTGTATATTATATGACATGCCAGTGTCTTAGTAGAATTCAAGAGCATCTCTGAGTCGTTGTTGGAGAATAATTATTTTCCATCCTCCCTCACAGGCAGGATGTGGCAAGTCTCTCACTGCTCTATCACCACTACCATGGAAAGTGTTCAAACGAACTATATGCCTTAGTTCCACCAGGTCTCACCTTCATGGCTGGGACCTGCCATGCCAATTACATAGTAGCAAACCATCCACATTCCTTCTGTATTCCATTGTCGAGAAGTAAATTCCATGAAACAGCTTCTTCCCATGAACCACTGCCCTGTGGAACAAACTTCTAAGAGAATGTTTCCTCAATCACTACAATCTTAACCTGTTAACCATTATCTTTCCCTCCTATCCATATAAACTACTCCTTAATGTAACCCTCTACCTTGGATGGCTCCCTGGCCTTGTATAGGGTGAACCTTA